AAGTTTACAAATGCAAGATAATATAGTCAAGATTGATTATAATTGTCAATAAAATAATTGTATAGGTATAGTTGAAACCAAATACGGGACATAAGGGAGAACAAATAAAAATTAGGGCATAAAATATTAAATGTATACTAATATTGTTTGAGGAGATTCCGACATTAGGATTTGTGGTTAAGTTCTATTAATACTTTAATATTAGAATTAGATTAATGGTGTAGTTATAATTCTATATTAGACTTTAATATTAGAATTAGACTAACGGTGAATTAACGGAAAAGTTAAATGGATAATCATATAATTAAGGATAAATTAGAAAATCTTAAAAGAAAAAAAATTAAAACCTGAACAATATGAACCATTCATTTGATTTAATAATTTGGCCGGTCATTTTTTCTACCCAATGTTAATAATTAAATAAATTCGCTAATCAAATCCGCTGATTGTCAAACAAGGACATTGTGAGGTAGTTCTCACTTCAATTTGTTGTGTGATTTGAATACTCTCTTTGTCACAAAATCTTTCAAGTAGTTAATATGGTTGGCTTTATTAATGATATTTTTTAAATTTTTTCATGGTATTAATAAAATACTTGGTAAATAAATATATAGCATTATTTTGTATTATAACTTTGATATTTAATTAGAAAAATAGTGCACAAAAAAGATAATAGATAATGTAGTGAATATAATCAATTGATGAATTTGAATGTAAAAATTTTTACATTTGAGAAAAATTAAGAGAATATAACTAATGAAAATATTTCTTTTAATTAATTTATTGATAATTAATAATTTTTTTCACTGAATAAAGACATTGTAAGGACAATGTAGCGAATATAATTAATTAATAAATTTGAATATAACGACAATATAACTAATAAAATTATTTCTCTTATTTAATTTATTGATAATGAATAAATTTTTTTTTGAATAAAGGCATTGTGGACACATAATTCTAAATTAAAGAAATGCATATGTATTATTTTTTGTTGTAACTACTAAATTATTATTTATATAATTTAATAAGAGTAAAATAGAGTACTAATTATGCCAAATTTGATTGGGATGGGGTTCGAACCTAAGACTTTTTTTTTATTGAAATCAATGAGTAAGTTAACGGTGAACTAATGGCAATTCTTAAAATTTTAACGGAATTAGTAACAGCGTGTGGGTATTTTAGGAAATTTTAGTGTAAAATTTAAATCTGATCAGTCTTTTAATCAATCTGAGCCATTCATTTGATTAAAATCTGTGACCGCCATTTTTTCTACCCATTATAGGCCTAACTCTCTTGGGCTCTTATTAGTATAGTAGATATATATATATATACTTGAAATTTAGATATTTTTCCCTGTGCTTCGACATATCACTATTTTGTTGTCTGCATCAACACCATTTCAAAGACAATTCAAATTATAGACACAAATCCCTACCCCTTGATGTTTTAGAAGTAGACAAATATCAAGATTGCCCACATTTACTGGTAACTTGATCAAAAACTTGAGTCTCTTATCATTTCTTATATATTTACTATAAAACATTATGAACACTGACATTTTTTTTGTTCAGCTAATTGCATTCAAGGAATACCTTGCAGCAGAAACTTCGCCCCTGCTATGGAAATTAGATGGCATTCCTGTAGAGTTTGTAGATATATATGCACTGGAAAGAGATGGATAATGCCACTGACTGTGGCATATATGTCATGCGACATCTGGAAACGTATAAAGGAACTCCAAAAAAAATAGACCCCTAGATTTAGGCGCAATACTCGTGTAAATGTAAGAGTATAAAATATATTAGTTATACATTACATTTTCTTAATTGTTTTTTGACATTTCATTAAACTGATTATTTAATGTTTTTTTTTTTCCTCTTTTTTTTGAAGGCTGACTTCATTTGTGAACTGAGAGCTAAATATGCAGCTAACATTATCACATGGAGTGTGAACACCGTAAAACACACAGTTATGAAGGCAGTAAAGCAAGTGTCCAAAAAGAAATGAATGTAGAGTGTTGTTGTGGTCTATAAACTTGGTGAACATGAAAGCAATGATTTTGTTAATGTTTAATTTTGAACTTATGAATGTAGCTACCTTTTTTTGGAAGGTATGAATGTAGACACCTAATTCCGACAATCTGGCGTTATGTAATGTGAGCATATATTTCTGCTCTTTTGAATGTATGTCTATTAATATGAACACATCGTTCACATAGTGTGAACATTTAACTCTATAATTATGGATAAAAGTGTTTTGAAATTGTCAAAATGTACTTCTGTAGTTTTAAGAAAAAAAATAATTAGAAATTATGAATATATAGTTTTGAGATTATGAACATGTAGTTATAAAATTATGAATTCACAGTTATGAGATTATGAACATGTAGTTACAAATTTATGAATATACTGCTCTAAAATTCTGAACATAAACCTCTAATAATTATGAATTTACACATATGAAATTATGAATATATAGTTGTGAGATTATGAACATGTAGATATAAAATTATGAATTCACAGTTATGAGATTATAAACATGTAGTTATAAAAATTATGAATTCACAGTTGTGAGATTATGAACATGTAATTAAAAAATTATGAATATACTTCTCTAAGATTCTGAACATAAACCTATATAATTATGAATTTACAGATATAATTATGAATTTATATTTATCAAATGAAATTATGAATTTACAGTTATGAATTTATGAATATACAGGTCTACAATTCTGAACATAGAACTTTGACATTATGAACGAATAGCTCTACAATTTTGACCAACTAAAAGCACAAATATTATGAACATAGAGTGCAAAACTTGTGAATTTAAAAATCAAAAATTATGAACATAGAATTCAAATTAACCAGTTCTTTAATAAAAGGCAAAAGAATAGTTCACATTGTGTTCATCACATCACTGCTTAAAAGCTAACCAGTTCTATTAACACAATCTCAGTCTAGAACTACATTGTTATCTGAACTCTTATTAAAATGAACAAACAGTAAACCCCCAGAACTTGGATGTACAAGGTATCCATCCTGAGCAATCTCCGATATATTTTCCAAAACCAAAGATTGTACACTGCCCTTTGTAATTGAAGCAACGTTATTTGCAGCACTCTTTCTCCCCCTTGCTATACTGTATTTCTTCTCGATAACATTACTCCTCCTTTTATTACGGTCACCTTTCAACCTCTTTCTTAAAGGATTTTGTACAACACCACTTGAGGATGAAACACCGCACCTCTTCAATGTTTACTTCCCCAATCTCAGCTTCAACCTTTTTCTTTGCATTCTCGACAGCTTCATCGCCAAACTGTCTAGCAACACTGTTGTCTTGACTAGAAACAATCAATCTTTGGAATTTTCTACTAATCTCAACAATCCAAATTGAAGAGGGGACATCGACGTTATAGAACAAAGAAGCAACTTTCACATTTCTACCATCAACAACCTTTTTAGTCCATCTTTTCAGAATGTATTTATCGGGAATACTAGAAACACAATTCACATGAAGTATACGTAAACAATGACAGCAAAGTATTCCCAATTCAGAAAACAACTTGCAACTTCAAGAAATTTTCACATTGATTGACTTAAAACTTACTTCATGCCTTATAATATCTATATTTGGTCGCCACACATGATACTTGTATTCAAAACCATCATTCAAAACAATTTCTTGATGACAAGAACTACCTTTTTATAAATTGTTCCTCAAACAAAAAGTAGATCTCAACAGTATATACCTCTCTAGCATGTGAAAGAAGTTTCACATGCTCCATCATCATAGCAGGTAGTCCTTGAGCACACCGAAAATCTTCACCATTTTCTTTACTTCCCCATTCGGAAATAACGCCAACAAAAGATGAGTAGAAATCACAAAGACCAGCAGTCTTAGATAGCCTTCTAGAAATAGAATGATTCATAGTTTCACTCCTTTGGGAAGATAGAATGCCCCCAGAAAAATAATCCTTGTTAAATGTTGGATACCACTTCTCCCTACAATCATAAAGCTTTTCTAACCAAGTATTCTTATGACACTTATACTCAGTCACCATCCTGAAAAGATACAAGACACATCCACTAAGTTTATATGAAAAAAGGCAATGAGATCAACAAATCTTTAAAACGTGTTCACAAACCTACCACTGTTGATCCATAATTTATGTACTGTAAATTCATAATCTCTATACTATAGATTCATAATTTCTAAACAAAAAGATTCATAATTCCTATACTGTAAATAAACAAGATGAGTAAATATAATCCAGAAAAAAAAACCAGACAGATACAAAAATCATACCCCAATCACAAGTTCATAAACCTAAGCACTATATGTTCAGAACTTCTATACTATAAATATTCAAATCCAATGCTTAAAAACCAGTAAAAAAAATAGTGAATAGTACCATATACCTTGTCCAATAAAATTCAAACTCAGCTTCAGTGTCTGTGTATTTCAACACACAGTTAAACAAATCCAAAAAATCCTTATTATTCCTTAATGTCTTGATATGCTTCTTTGAATTCTCACTGATATGCCATATGCAAAGACGATGACGTGATGTTGGAAACACTTGAGAAATAGCTGCAGTCATAGCTGCACATTGATCCGTCATGATAGACTGTGGACACTTGCCATCCATAGATCTTAAAAATGTTTTAAACAACCACAAAAATGATTATGTCCTCTCATTCATCAAAAACCCACATCCAGACATTACGTTCATGCAATGATGATTCATCCCTACAAAAGGTCCACAAATCATATCATATTTATTTGTGCGGTATGTTGTGTCATGCACTAACAAATCCCCAAACAACTCATAATCTTGTCTCATTTGAACATCCCTCCAAAAAAAAAAAAAAAAAACTACACAATCTTGAATCCGAATCAACTTCAAAAAAAAAAAAAAAAAAAATCAGTCTCATTCAACTGCCTCCTAAATATTTCAATTAAGGAATTAGAATCATTTCCATCCAAACACTTCAAACTATCATAAGCCAGTGAATTGTAAGCATCTCGATTGGTGAACCCAACAAATGGAGACCCCCAGATTGATGTTTCAACAACCTCATACCATCCGCCACTGCAACCCCACTCTTCTTCAAATCTTTTAAATAAGAAATCTGATTATTCCTCACTCTTCTATGCGAACGAAATAGATGACTCTTGTCTAAAGCACATAACTCATGATTATGAACTTTCACGTGTTTTGTAACTGTCCACCTTCCATCCCCACCCACATCAAACTGAACAAATGCACCAAAACCCATCCTTATATCAATTTTTGAATACAAATTGACACCACTATTTGCCTTTGCCTTAAAACCAGCCTTATAACAGAAAAACCTCTTCATTTGAATTGTCTTAGTAGAGGCCTTGTAACGTTGTTGACCCTTCCTCACACTAAAACCCACTCTATAGGCGTACTCGTTGTACAGATCAAAAGCTTCATCCCCATTACTAACTACAACACCAACCAAGTCTTCAACGGCTGCAATTATAAAATATAACCTCAACTATAACAACTATTGATGTTTGATCGAAATATAATTCCTAAGTAGAGGGGGAATGGGGAATGCCGAATAAATCCAGTCATGCTCTACTAAAAGAATAAAATTTCCATCCAAACATATAAAACATAACAGGACTGTATAATACGATGAATATATATATATGTCAAATATTATGAATCACAATTCAATGGTTTCAAAACACACATCACATAGTAAAAAACTATGAAAAAAACCTGGAATCGAAGAAGAGCCATCAATGTTAACATCTGATTGATCACCAATTAATGAATCACCAACCAAATCTTCATTCACTGAAATATAGAAAACAGAGGAGCAGAGCAGTAAAAAATTATGAATATACAAGTGTAAAATTATGAACATGTAACTTGCAATTTATGAATATGGATTTTACAAGCAGATACAGAGTACCAAATAACATTGTGAATATACAATGCAAAAATTTTGAATGTAGAACTCAAAAATTATGGATTTACATATTCAAATTTATGAATGTATAACTGTCATGATTGTATGCAAAGTAAAAACCACACATTCTGAAATAATCACAAATAAAAACAACCTAAAATCACATACATTGCAAATTCTCCGAATAACAGACACAAATATAAATTTGAAATCAAATTTTAAACTCATAAATCTCAAATACCAGAAAAAATCACATAAATGAAATGCAAAAAACGCAAAAATTGAATGGAAAGAAACCTGGAATTGTAGACAAACCATCTCCGATTAGATCTCCCGGATTTGTTGCCTCCTCCATCGACGAACTCAATAACGCAAAACAGAACACCAACGCACAACAAAAAACGAAAGGAAAGAAGGAAATAAACTTGCAAAAATGTACGATTGCAACTGATAAGAAACTTGCGAATGGTAACTACCAAATCACGACTGGAAACTACCAAAATCTCGAATGAATTGGCTGCCAAATCAGGAATAACGCCGTTAACGGCCTTTGGAACTAATTTTTTTTTTTTAAATTAGGACGGCGTCATTTTCCCTGAAAACAACGCCCTTTTAGAGATGTGCGCACATTGCAATGTGCGCACGTATTCATAGCATAATTTGCCTCCTTCGACGGCATCCTCTTACTAACTATTTTTTTAAAAAATAAAAAATAAAAAATTGGGCAAACACATGTTCTTCGCCCACATCTAAATTGCGTTTATTTGGACTAGACCAAGATGACTTGATCTTGATCGAGAAAGGATGAAGATGAAAAATCTTATCGTTAACTACGATCTACGATAGAAGTCAAGTTTTATTATTTTTTTTTAACTTTTTTTATAAAATATCGAAATATTATTTTTATTATTATCATTATTATTTATATATGTGCATGTGTATGTATGTTTTAATTAATTGGATGAAAATTTATTATCAAAGTTTTCAATTGCTTTGTAATTTTGTATGCAACAAACTAGTCTATATATATATATATATATATATATATATATATATATATAAAGTAAAATCCTCCTAACAAATTTTCCCCCCAAAACTTTTGTAGTAAAACTTATTTGGTAAGTAAATGTCAAATGGAAATTAAATAAATAAATAAATAAATAATAATAATAATAATAATAATAATAATAATAATAATATAATAATAATGTTATTACCTTAAATAAATAAATTATTATACTTTCCCTTAAATAAATAAAGTATTATACTTTCCTTTTGAATTAGTATTTTCTACCTATAAATACAAGAGCTTCTTCAATCAAAGAATCTCAGACTCATCTTTCTGCTTTCTTTTTGTATGAATTTTCTACATTTTTCTAACTTTATTCTCAAGTACTTCAATATGTTTTGCAGTTTGGACATCATGAATAGCTTCATCAACGATATCTTCTTGAAGCTCGCCCAAGAGGTGACTCGCTTGGCCCACTACAACAAGAAGCCGATAATCACTTCCCGCGAGATCCAGGCCGGCATGAGATTGGTTCTTCTTGGCAAATTGGTAAAGCACGTTGTCTCTCTAAAAGCACTAAAGCAGTCACCATATTTACATGCTCTTAGATGAAATCATTTAAATCTATGTTTCCTTTTTATATAATCTCAATTAGGGATTAATAGATGTAAAGTAACTTGGATTTGAGTTTAATTTCATATTATTCTTCCAAAAGGTTTAATTTCATATTATAAGTATTGTTATCTACCTTCAACTATCAGTGAATCGATTAGCATTCTCAAAAAAAAAAAAAAAAATCGAATGTCTATATCTACGTGCATTTAAGATGCAACATGTGTATGATTCATTAGGCTTTGAGGCATGAGAACACATCTGGGTACATTGCATATTAGTGGATCTGTATCTCATTGCAAAAAGATATCCATACAATTAATTAATTAATATAATTACAATTATCATTATTCTAATTCAAAAAAAAAAACTAAAGAATTAATTGTAATAATGAAATTTGTTATTAATATTCTGTTACTAAATTGACACAGAAATCAGACTAAAAGAAAAATGAAATTAATATTAAAAATGGACTCGAATTAAAAAAAAAAATGTGCTTAATAAGTAAATAACTAATTTGCTAGACAGAAAATTAGGGTAAAGGAAAAAGAAAATGATTATTAAACATTGTACCAGATTGTTTTTATGATTGAAAATGAATATTACAAACGTACCAGATTGTTTTTATGACCAGAAATAAGAATGAATTTTACACACGAGAATCTATTATTAATATTCTGTTATACTAATAGGCATGGGAATCATGCCAAATGAAAAAAGGATTTAATATTAAAAATTTATTGGAAATATAACACAGTTTTCCCTACGAAAAAATTAGTAACCACCAAATGAAATATTAGGAAAAAATTATGAAGAAAAAAGAAATGGAAACAAATATTAACTCTTTCTATGAATGAAAAAAGAAAATGAATATATCCATATTTCACTTAAAATATAATCAGTAATTATATTATTATAATTATATTAATTATTTATGAAGAAAAAAGGAAATGAATATGAAAGGAAAAAAATAAAATTTAGACACGAAAATCTATTATTAATATTCTGTTATACTAACAGACACGGGAATTAGGCCAAATGAAAAAAAAAAAAGATTTAATATTAAAAATTTATTGAAAATATAACACCGCTTTCCCTACGAAAAAATTAGTAACCACCACGTGAAATATTAGAAAACATTATGAGGGAAAAAGAAATGGAAATGAATATTAACTCTTTCTATGAGTGAAAAAGGAAATGAATATATTCATATTTCACTTAAAAAATAATCAGTAATTATATGATTATAATTATTATAATTATATTAATTATTTATGAAGGAAAAATGAAATGAATATATTAATAGTTTACTGGAAATAAAATCAGTAATTATATTTTTTATAATAATATTATTTTTTAATTATGTGGAAATGAATATTAATTCTTTTTATGAACGAGAAAGGAAATGAATATTTCACAAAAAAATCTGTTATTAATATCATGTTACTAATCGACATGGAAATCAGGCCAATTAATCGAATCATGCCAAATGAAAAAAAGGATTTAATATTAAAAATTTATTGGAAATATAACACAATTTTCCCTACAAAAAAAAATTAGTAACCACCAAATGAAATATTAGGAAAAAATTATGAAGGAAAAAGAAATGGAAACAAATATTAACTCTTTCTATGAATGAAAAAGGAAATGAATATATCCATATTTCACTTAAAATATAATCAGTAATTATATTATTACAATTATATTAATTATTTATAAAGGAAAAAAGAAATGAATATGAACAGAAAAAATGAATTTTACACACGAGAATCTATTATTAATATTTTGTTACTAATAGACACAGGAATCAGGCCAAATGAAAAAAAAGATTTAATATTAAAAATTTATTGAAAATATAACACCGCTTTCCCTACGAAAAAATTAGTAACCACCACATGAAATATTAGGAAAAAATTATGAAGGAAAAAGAAATGTAAATGAATATTAACTCTTTCTATGAGTGAAAAAGGAAATGAATATACTCATATTTCATTTAAAATATAATCAGTAATTATATGATTATAATTATTATACTTATATTAATTATTTATGAAGGAAAAATGAAATGAATATATTAATATTTTATTGGAAATATAATCAGTAATTATATTTTTTTTTTAAAAAAAAAAAAAAACCCTGTATATCCTCCAGAACACATAACTAAACAAAATTCAAACTAATATTTAAAAAAAAAAAAAAAAAACCATGTATACGCAGATTCGGGTCCGATTCTTCTATATATATATATTTTTATACTTAATGTATAATGTTATTGGGCACAAAATAAATATACTTACCTTAATATATATAGATTATTTTTAATATAATTTCCTAATTTATTAAAGGTAATTATTCTCATAATTTTTCTTTCCTTCTTTTGTGTAATTATTATGGTAATGTATTTAAATATTGGAAGAGAAAAAATGTTATAATTAATATAATTAATGAAATTATTATTGTAATTGCCACAATATTTGGTAATTATAAATAATATAATTAAGAAATTTGAGAAATATAAGATTTCTTCCGTAGAAATATTTGTGACGATTTCATTAAATTATAATTAATAAAATATAAAATATAATTAAAGAAATGAAATTATAAAATTAACAAAACATGAATATTTATATTTTTTTAAATATACATACATACACATTTTAAATTTCTAAATATAATTTTTTAAGTATAAATCTATCAATATAAATTAAAATTAATGAAATTATATTATAATTTTCCTATATACATATTAATAAATATTATGTGTATATACAATGTATTATACAATCATATAAGGATATGCGTCCGATTAGAGTTTATATTTATTCATACAAAATTTAGAATTTACATTTTTATTGATTTCTAAGTACAATTCTCTTAGTTATTAGTATTCATATTTTTAGAATTAATAATATATATATATATATATATATATATATATATATATATATATATATATATATATATATATATATATATATATATATATATATATATATATATATATATATAATACAATTTGGAATAAATCAACTTAATTATATTCTATAAATTTATCTAAATATGTACATGATTAGAGATTATATTAACCATACAAAATTTAAATTTAAATTTTGTATGTTATGAAAATAGATACTTGACCAACTATATAAAAGTCCAACTATATTATTATATTGTACATTTTAATATTTTTTTATTTTTTATTTTAATTTTAATTTCATAAAAACAAAAAAAAAACAAAAAAAAAATTCGTGCAACACACAGGTAAAACACTACATTTTAAAAAATACAATTTCATAAATATCATAAATTAATTAGTATAATATCATTTATATTTATAACAATTAAAGAAAAAAAAATAATTTCAAATATATGAACCAATGATTTCAAAATGAAACTAATATACAGTTACAAATAAATATAGCATGACTAGATTTACTTTAATTAGTTTTAATTCTCTTAATGATATGACTTTTCTTTATCAGTTTTTTTGTGGGAGATTAAGGGAGTGTTTGAGTTGCTGGAAATTATTATTATTTTTTGAATAACATTTGTAAATCTTATATTTTTTAAAATTACAATTTGATAAATATTATAAATTAATTAGTAGAATATCATTTCTGTTTATAAATTATAATAATTAAAAAAATTCATATATGTGAACCAATGAGGCAATGATTTCAAAATGAAATTAATATACAGTTAGTCAGTTACAAATAAATATAGCATGATTTGAT